TGAATGGAAAATGTTATTTCTATTTTGTGGAAGTAATATTTCAATGTTATTTTCAGAATATTCCTAATCCGTATATTCATACTAATATTATAAATGTGAACCTATCTTTTGTTAATTTTTTAGAACTAAACAGGTAAAGGGATCTTACTGTAATTTGTCCTGAAATCATCAATCAGTTTGTGTTATGAGGATGAACATATCTTATCTTCAACGAAGTCGCGAGTGACAGTTGGTAAAATATGAATTTTCTATCAACCAATTATAACCCTTAAAGAAATATAATAGAAAGTTTCGTTTTATTCCAACTTTCAGCATTGCATGACATATCAACTGACTAGAGGCTATTCCGCCAGAATCTCATTACACACGCCAATTCCTAATTCACCTCTCTGCAAACAGGCCGCTCGTAAAAAGGCGTCGATCATAAAAATATTTGATTAGGCGCGTAGAGAGCGTCGGTGCCAATTCGCCATCTTGAAACTTTTATTAGGTACACGCGCCAGGATGAATTATTTAGTGTGATGTAAACGTAATTTCTGTCCTTTACCGGAGTAATGTTGACTGATGGGCGTGGTATATTTATATTCTAAATAATAATTGATTAAATATTTTAATTTGTAAGTACAAATTTTTTATCTGCATTATACTTATAATTCTTATTAATATTATGAATGTAAAAGTAATTTTTATCGACGTAGATATTATTCTATACAAATTCTTCTGAGTTAGTCTGACTTCAGGATTAAAGTCTGGACATATAGGAATATGTCCTGACATTAATCCTTTTCATAATTCTACATCCATCAATAGCTGTAAGTGAATTGCAATTACACTTTTTCAAGTTTACAAAATACTTTTGTATTTCCCTCCGATTTTTATCATAATTAGTGTGCTTATTGGTTGAGTTTTATATTGAAAAAGCGCCTGCAAAATAAATGTAGCAATAAAGAAGAAAAACATCTTGTAATCAGTTACAGTAAAATACAGTTTTTATTATTTACTTTTAACTATACCATTCAGATCAGACTAAACTCAACTGTTATTTAATCCGTCTGAAAAATAAAATAATAGTTACTGAATTTATGTGTATAGTAGTAGTAGTATATTTCTTGCACTGAGAATCCCCTACATTAGTAATATCACAGATAACATAATATTACATAGTAATATTTATGAAACTTTATACCTTTATTGTAACTTTAAAAAAGCTTTGCCAGAATCGTCGTTTCAGTTAGGTAGTACCTTTATATAATGAATTTTTGACAAAAAAAATATCCTTACAGTTTACATATCGTGCCATCAGTCATGAATCCAAAACATAATGCCCAGTCCTGAGAAGTGGACCGTATACTGCTGAGGGCGTAATAAATCAACCCTTGTTTGCTTTCGAAGCCCACAAATTATGGAATTAGTGGATAATCCGGATAAATTTTTCAACGGCGTTATTTTCATCTACCTAATTATAAATTGGTACAATGAAAGAGTTGCCAAAAGCAAAGTTATAAGAAAAATATTTTCTGAAATTTAAATGGTTAGGTATTTAAGAATCATATTTAACAACCAAAGGACCATATTTACTGATTTTAGATTTTTATGGATGATAATGGAATGGTGCACCCGCCTGCGCTAACGGTTTATGCTGGCGGGGCACCAGTGGAGGATGATAAGATTAGCCTGAGGTCAGGCCAGGTAGCATATCGTGACAAATTCACCAAGAATTTATCACGTTGGTTTCCAGAGCAAACCGTGTGGACGTCTACTAATTTTAGTTAGTACTAGCTTTCTTCTATTTATCTCGCAACAGTTTGAAAGCCATATAACTAATCTTCGAAATATTAACATACAATTTTAGGTTAACCAAAATAGTGGCATGGCGTAATGGTTTACTATCCTGAATTACGTTCAAGAGGTCGTAAGTTCAAAAAAGACTGACCACAAGAACACTTTATTTGTCAATTTATATTACTGTTTATAGGTATACTTTTAGTTGAAAGAAGCACCAATATCAAACTAAAAAAATATCGAGAGATGGCGGTAGGCTCACCCGCTGCCCTTTGGATTGAAAAAAAACCGAAATGTAGCCATGTCAAGTGTTAGTTTCAATATAATATCGATATTTGACTCAGGCTCTGACTACCCCATCTGGGATAATAGTCAGTATGTTTCTTTGTTTTGTGTACATTTCGGTGAATATATATTAATATATACGTATTTATATACGCAATAATACTATTAAATTTAAAAACTACATAATTTTACAGTCTATTAAAAACTATCTAGAAGTCAAAGTATCAGATTTGGATACTTTACAGAAAATAAGTTTAGTGTATTAAAGAATACAGCTAAGCGACTAATGTTCAGGTCGTTAAATATCGATTTGGCGTAGATACTGTTACAAATAACGAACCGGTTTAGTTTGAATAAGCTACGAACTAATACCAAAAGTTTATTCTACTAAATAAATATCGTGAATCTTTACCATATTTAGAATGTTAGTTTTTTTAACCTGCGCAAATGGTTTACACTAGCGGAACATCAGACAGGATGATAATATGAACTTGTAACGTCAACCAGCCCATAGTTAATATTCACCAGGAATTTATCACGATGGTTTCAAGATAGAACCATGTTATGCCTGACACGGTATATTGCTAGCCATAGCCATGCCATATTCCTAATTATCACCTTTCTCTCTTCGATAATATTGATATTACGGTACATTTTGGCTATGGAAGTAGACTTTGTAGAAAGTCTCTATCTCACCCACTGTAGCTGCCAAACTTTGTAACCTGTTTCTTTTGCAATTTAATTCAATTAAATTATTAAACATGGTACCAGTTCTCTAAATATTTTTCTCGCCAGATCACCTGAACTATTTTTTAATCATTGTAAACATTCTATTAACGTGTTCTTGCGTATTACTTACCAATTTCTTTGTAAACCATCAACGTCATTTCTATAAATTAAAATATATCCTCAAGTTATTCTACAATCATAGCAACCCTACAATGTATTGTCGGGTTCATGACACACTCCATTATCAAACATCGGACCGGCTATGAAAAATATTTCCTTTCAACCCCTCTCCGGAACTCTCGTCCATTTTTTTTCGAACCTCCCTATATCATTGTCACGTGTATTGATTTTAAAGGCACGTCACTCTTAAATGACCCGGTGTGAGTACTTGAAAAGGGAAATCGAGTGATTGCATTGTTTATTGAGGGCATGATTATAGGTACATAATTGAAATTTGAAATAATTAAAATACTATAATAAATAATAATATTAATTGTTTCTTTTACATAGTATAAACCGAAGTCTCCACGGCTGTCTGTACATTTAGATCTACTGTACTGTTTAGACTTACTTAAATTCCGCAATGGATTTTAATGTCTATATCTACCTGTATGTCACAGTACAGAAAAGCCGGGAAATTCAAAGATTTGTAATGCTCTGCGAAACGGAGTGGGATTTTATTATTAATTAATAATACAAGTATTATTAACATAGTAAACGGATTTTAACACGAATAGAAGAATACTTTTGCCTTTAAAGAAGAATATAGATTTTTTATTTTAAGCAATTATTAATATATTTTCATGCTCTCTTCTTAAGAATCACAACCGTAAGAAATGTGAGCTTTGTTTAAATAAGAATTGAAATTGAAATATTAATAATTAGAAATATAACAATTAAAATTCCACTAAAGTCACTTAACCTTGTCTACTGAAGTAGGCAAGACCAAGTTTAGACAAACAATTAGAAAAAAATTACAAATTTAATATAGTTATTGCTTAGTGATAAACCGTTTTTTGTAGTAATTATTGTAATTTTTTTAATTAAAATATTTATGTATTCGGTGCAGTAAAGTGATAATCTCATACAATGTAATAAAAAAGAAATATTATTATATTGTTGTCAACACACCATATAAAGTAACAAATAAATATTAGTTACAAAAAACACTTTATAATATATAATTTCGTATATATGATTAAAAATCAATATAACTGAAAAATAGTACGATTTTATACATATTTCAGTACTACCTTTTATTACTCGATTATTTATCTTAACTGTTGAGATTATGAAAAGCAAAATTTGGCATGCCCATTTTCATCGAATTTAACGTAGAGAGAGACTTTGTCTCTCGAATTTATTTTGTTTATCACCTATATCTTTAGGTCTCAACGCTGAGAGCGTACCTATTGTTGAGATAATTTTTAAATGGGGTAATGATACAATAGTCTGCATTAATTACTGTTTAATATATCTAATATTTAAATAAACACAACCCAGAATAGTTTAGTATAACTATAGTAAAATAATTAAGTCTTTTACAATAAAATACATATTTCAATATAGTACCTTGATGACTACCTAATATCCCACTTTATTAAATAAAAAACGCTACGTTTCTTACGTAATTTGTTTTTAATAAATAATAATTTACCTTATAAAGATAAGATCTACCTATGGGACATTAACACCTTAAAATGAATAAATAATTCAATTTTTGTAAAGAGACTGCAACAAATGTGTAGTCTTAAATAAATGGTATAATTTTAATATGTTGTTTGTTACTTTGATATTTCACAACATAATTAACAATGTATGAATTTAAAATTATAACATATTATTTATTCATTTGTATTTTTACTTATAGCTAAACTATTTTATGTGTCACTGTACGTGAAGTTTGAATTTGAAATGCTATGGGAACTGGGTGGTATTGTTAGTGATGAAAACTCTTCTATTCCTGGCCATAGACTACGTGGAGATCATCCTGACACCCTGACAAGATGACTTCCACGTAGTATATCCATTTAAAACCATAGATAAGCACTGAACTCAATATTAGTTAACCTACTTTATGTCATTCTACATTAACTTCAGTTCCTAAAATTTTTGGAGATACTGAAATATTTCACCAAATAGTGATGAATTTTGGGATATAAATATGTTATGTTGTTAAATGAATGTATGATATATTTTTGTACTAATATACATAGGCAAGGCCGGGATTTATAGTTAGTTAATACTGTTTGTATTTATGTTCTAATCGGTTTAAAGTTAACCCAGATATCGCGGTCAATGACCCTGCCAAAGTTGTAATCAGTCACTGGCAAAGACTGTGGTGTTCTTGCACAAGGTTCGATTTCAAACTGCTTTAGTATCGAACTCGTTATTCTTCGTACAATTTGTAGCGACAGTTGTTCACCTGTAAAAAAATAAAATATATTATTACAACTATTGTTTTAAATAAAGCTTATTTAGATTTTTACAGACGTGTTGGTATATTTTGTAGAAGTTTTGAGCGAGCCTATAACATATTTTTACCAGAATAAGAAACCCTAGCAACCAATGTACGGCCCAAACAATAATGTCGCAAATATCTACTCGTTATTATATACTTATGTTCATATATATATATACGTTACACTATACCAATGCAATAAGAAATAAGATATAAAAATATAAAGATTAAACACAAAATTATTATTAAAATATTAACAAATATTTGGTGGATAGAATGCTCTCATAACTTTACTTGCAGTCACCTTTTACATCGTCCGTATTTCAAGAAGGAAGCGCCGTTAAAAGAGCTATCATTATTTTGATATCTTAAACATATTACCGAATTTTAAAATTTAAATTTTGAATTGATACACATTTTTTATAGTCAACTAGGACGTAACTCTCGAGGCCCGTTTCATGAATCGAGATAATTAAATGGCGAGTAAAGGATTTCTATACAAAAAACGAATTATGATAAATATATTTGTAAATTTTCTCGTGTAAAATATTTTTGTATTTCACTCTTAAGCCCTTTCATTTTATAACCATTATAAAAGGACGATATAAAAAATGCTTGCCATATCATTTTATGAGAACAATATTTCATGAGTGCAACCCCAGGTTTAAGCTTGGTTTCGCCTGTGTCAATTTTAATTATGGCGGTATTACATACAGTTATTAGGATTGTGTTAACTTTATTTAATTGCGGCTAATTTTAAATAGTGTATAATATATCTACGATTATGTTATAAATAGTTATACGTGATGATGCTGGTATGACGTTATAGAAGAGTGAGACCAGAGTTTCTTCTCATTTCTTGTCGGTCCGAACTACGTGTATAGTTTGACCTACATAGCTACATAGTATATCTGTAATAGAGTATAATTGTTTTCTTAGTTTCTGCGAATTTATAATATATTTCGGAAAAGCATAACGTTTTGTATCGAACTACATTGGACAGTTTTATTGCTGTAGTAGGAATTATTAATTTATTTGTACATTCTCTAGCAAAACCAACATAGGATAAATGATCCCAAAAAAGTACGCAAACTTATATTATCCAGTCGTAAATGTCGACTTTATTATAAGTATTACACTTTCATAAAACTTTCACAACCTGATATTTGTTTTATATTATCTTATTTTTTTGTCTGCGCTGAGCTTTGTCAAACTAAATCCAATCGTAAGACAACGTCACGAAAGTTGTCATTCTTCTGCGTGTGCACGTCAATTTGTGTCAAGCAAGTTGTTACAAAGAAGTTATTGTGGTTTATATTCTAAGTATAACTATGTATATAAAATAATCATTCACATACAAGTGTGAACATTCAAGTGCGATGTATTTGAAATAATGATGACAAGAATTGTTAAGTGCTGCTGCATCTATTGTGAGCAATAAAATGGATTTCGTCATATTTACCGTTGCGGCACGTAGCGGTATCTATTATTAATTATATTATAAAACCATGTAACGGTCAAAAGATACGTTATGCTCAAACCATAAACTTATGTTTAAAAATGTAAGGAATAATTGCATTGTTGTATGTTGTTTGATCAAGATATAAATAAATGTATAAATTCTTTAAATAATATAGAGATAGTGAGCGATTCTATAGTAATATTATACTATAAGTATATTTTTTTTTATTCATGGTTTTGGGCTGTTATCAGGTGTTTAGACCTGTAGCACTGCGACCTACTATTCGATCTATTGAGCGCCCCTTTTTTCGTTCGCTGCCTAGACCCGTCAGGGAATAGAATTGAGGAATATTCTTAGGAATGACGTTTTGTATCTCCTCAGGGTAAATTGTAACGTTCCAAAGGATATTTCGTTTATGCATAAATGGGCTATAAGCAAATAAGATGAGTAGAGGCTCTTCAGATTTTTGTTCAGCACAATCTAGGTAGAGCTCAAATGCAAGTATCTTTTCATGACATTACGAACCACGAATGATGTGAAGATATGTTGTACAATTTGGATGTAGGGTACTGAGACAATACCTATATATATATTCTAGCTAGGTGAATCAATGAATAGACATTCTAGTTAGCCAGAATGTTTATACGGTACCAAAGCTTCCTTATATAACAAATCCATGATGTTTTTCAAGAATTATAAAGGGATCTTCGTGGGCAAGGCAGCGGTAAACAACTAATCGTTAACTGTAAAGGATCAATGACACAGCATAATAAATATTGTTTTGCATAGCTAATTTTGAATGATATGTTTTGTATGTATTGATAATTAATATTTTGTAATAAGGCATTGTATTGTCAAAATGCCACATAATGTAGGTACTTTATGAAAATTGACAATCCTTCTAATATTTGTATTTAATTGATTGAACTATTTTGTGACTATGTTTTTATGAGTTGTAAAACAAAGTAATATAACACAACAATCTGTAATAATAATACTTAATATTGCATGCTTAATATTAAATCGCATCAACTCAAATATTGGCAATTTTGCGAAATGAACTTTAATTGTTATAATTTTAATGTCGATTTTTCTAAATTTGAAAATTTTGAGTTAATACAGTTTCGTACTACGTGTGCGACATCAGAAATGCTAAAGTGTGAGTGTCTGTCTGTTTGCTTGTTTTAATTTCAATCCACTTATAATCTGATCTTTTAAAACATAAGCAAAACTAAAAAGTTCTTAAGTTCGTTCAGTCAGAATTAATATTTTGCTAATGTAGAATTCCAGAAAATTAAAAGGTGCGAAACGACGCAATCCAATGTTTTGGATCAGATTTAGTTTCCAAAGCAAACCAGTAGATGGCTGTCTACGTATTTGCCATTCTAACTTTATAAAAATAGGGTTCTAGAAGGAACCCTATTTTTTATTAGGATGTTTCAATTTACAGATGAGAAGTTATATAGAAAATACTATATACTATATACTTCAGTACATTTTATAATGCAGGAAATTATTTTCTAATTGTATATAACATTGTCATCAATTATAATTCCTCACCAGTATAGATAATGACATGAGATAGGATAGAAATAACGTAAATTAAAGAGATAAAACTGGTTTTGTAACAAAATCATCTCCCGACCATTACAATGCATTATGGAATCTCACAAGAATCTCTGTAATTATATTTATGACTAGCGAACCGCTCTGGTTTCTCACGGGCGCATTATTAATGAGAAGTTTAATTATTTTGAAAATAAAGTACAACATATTATACAATGACTAGCAATGTAACGATCTATAGGTGATTTTTTAGTATGTGTTAAGTATTTTTTGTTTTATCGATCAATCATATTCAGCCATTTAGTTGTGGAGATATAACAAATGAACAGATACACTCTCGAAATATCGAGTATAATATTTATATAGATGTTATCAACAACTAAGTTTCGTATTGACTCTTTACTTTTAAATAAACAATCTACACAAAAAGTGCTACAATTAAATGAGTAAATGACTCATTTATTAAAAAATTAGAATAATAAAAAAAAATCTTACCAATACACCTTCTTGGACCAGTACCAAATGGCAAATAGGCAAAGCTATGTGCATTCGAATTATTATTATCCAAAAATCTATCCGGATTGAAAACTTCTGGTTTGGGATAATAAATTTTATCTTTGTGCAAAGCATCAACTGGTATATTAATTGTAATTCGTTTATCAATCAACAGACTGCTATCGTAATTGTATGTGTTGACACATTGTCTGGTAATTACGGAGTACGGTGGATGAAGCCTCAAAGCCTCTTTAATGGACGCGTCCAAATATTCTTCAGATAGTCTCACTTTTTGCTGTGCCTCTGGGCTCTTTGCCAACTCGTACAGTAAAGATGTTAGCAAATTATGACACGGCACGTAACCCTCCGTTACGAATGATGCTAACATGGAATATGCGAATTCTACTTCGCTAACAGTTCTTTTTTCTTTTTCTTTTATGCCCAATTGGAAAACGGACCCAGTTTTTATTTTTTCCATCAATTTTGATTGTTCAAGTATTTTTTTCGTTTTGTTTGATGGCTCTTCAGGTACTGTAACTAGACCAAATAAAATATATAGTGAGGGGAATATATTTTTCAAATAACTCTTTAGTCTGTCCACCAAAGGACGTCTCTGTACAGTTGATCTTATATTCGTTATTACGGTCGCATCAGAACTACTATCCAATAACATGTCTTTGAAGATCGCATCCAATACCTTTGACAACAACTGTTGAACGTTAGCATCTCCATTTGTTCCCGACAAACAGCCATGTAAACTATGTCCAAAGTCGCACTCGAAACTATCCATAATAGATTCTAGCCCCTTCCGCAATAAGGTCCACTTTTCTCCTTCAGCGTAAAACAAATTGTTTCGTAAACAAACATCCTGAGATTTGTCCAAGCCAAGGCCTCTGCTATGGAAATTTGCAAAATCTGTTGACAGCATCTTCTTTATGGCGTCCGGGTCTCTAACGACCAGATCCGGTATCCTGCTCTTAACATATCCGACGAATTTCTCCTTAGGATGTTTCTCATAAAGTTTATTCACTTCTTGAGTTGTGTTTCTGATACCAAAGACTCTATGGTAGTCGGAACCGAAGAACGGTATCGACGATTTATAAGGTATATGCCTGATATACCAGTAGCTGAAGAATTTTGTGACATAGTCGATGATTAAAGCTAGAATTAATACTATTGAGACGATCGCGTTTAAAAGAATACTTTCGAAAAACATCTTGGCGTTCACACTATGCGGCAAAGCGATCTCTACTGGCAATTCTTACGAAGCATCGCAAGAGTAGGTCAGAATAACGGTACGGTCAAACTATGTATCTGTGCTTATGCATGTCAAGTTTTTATAACATTGAAGTTGCTATAGAGTGTTTGGAAGCTTCATAGAAATACAGGTACATATAGGTATAAAAAAAATACCGTACAGCGAAAGTTGTAGGTTCAGATTCTACAAGCTTATAGTAAATAGGCTAAATTAAACATTTTAAATTGATTACTTATAATTACATATTCGGTACTAATGATGTTCTAAAGGTTTTGCAGGGCAGTCAGAGAAAATAAATTTTGTTCACAAAGCCTAAACCTATGATCTATTTTAATGTCATAGAAAACTACTTTTACCAACTGTCAACAAAAAAGGAAATGTTCATTTAACTGTTTCTTTTCTCAAGTTTCTCAACTGAACAACTCTTAAAATATACTTTAACAGTTATTCATATCAAAACTTCACATTCCTTGATTATTTTTTGGGATCGTTAGAAGATTTAGTCTAGCTCTGTATTAGTCTAGCTCTGTATTATATTATTATTCTATTATTTTTATCAGGAGCACATAACAACCAATTTTTGAGGAAAAAAGGTAAACACTATTTCTTGCAATAATCTAGATTGTCTCATAGAGTTTTTTGTAAGTTATAATATGTACCTATATCTAAATTAAATACTAGTACCTGATGTAATAAATATACATTTAAATAACATAAATCTATGTATATCTAATAATACCTATTGATAATAAACTCAAGTACCTACTTAAAAGTACGAAGTTAGGTTTCAAAAAGAGAAAAAAATTCAGTATAGATTCGTATTAAATTAAAAAGTTAGTGGATAAAAACATCGCTCTTTTTCAAAATGATGATAAGTCTACAGCAGACATCGTTACAAAAAAATGGTTTTTGTAATTCAATAAATATTAACCCATCTTGACGACTGAATAAATTTATTCATTATAACTAGATCTTTGGTATTTAAAACAAAATTACATGTCTTAAATATCAAGATTTCCTAGACCCAGAATTTATATAAAGATACATAAATAACAGAAGGATATCCATGTCAAGAAATATGGAGAAACTTTAAAAACATAAGTAAGTACCATGAAAATTATTTCCGAAATTATTAAAATGATAACCCAAAATTATGTCTCAACGAAAAATAACAATAAATTTATTTGTAAATAGCGCCATCTCTGTTTTATAATAGGAATAATTATGATGAAGCTTACTTGCTACGTCTCACTGTTGCTAATTAATATGTATTGCAGCGCCATCTATCCATTAAGACCTCAATGAAATAGCACCAATGGAAATGGGAGCTTGCATTTCTTTCTTAAATTGTAATACATAATTTAATACAAAGATGGCGCTATAGGTTATTTAATATTAAAAAAATATCTTCACATCAAATTGCGTATTTTGAATTATATCCGTTTATAGTTAATAGATATAAGAGTTATTATTGCTATTATGTTACTGTGTTTAATTCAGATCAATGCTAAAAAATCCTTTTTGACAAATGTTCTTGTCAGTTCTTAGCTCTAAAGCACTCCGAACCGACGGTAGAATTGCCATATCATAAAAGTCTGTAATAGGCCTACTTGAGGAAAGATATATTTTTTTTTAATATAGCATAATGCTTACCTAACTATTTATATATAAACATCTTAGGATACATAATGACCTGTTTCAATATCGAGACAAACTCTATACATCGTACGTGCCTACATTATTCGCCTACCCAGTCAGACAGAATGTATAAATCAGAAACATTCAGAGATAGACACTCTTAGACATCTCATAAAGCAAATAAAACAGTATAATTGAGAATACTTTAATTATTACTTTTATATAAGAAACGTATTACTATGGTTTTAGCTATGAGCACCAGTAGAATATCTATTGCTCAATATCTATGTATTGATTGAATTCTGGAATATACTAATTAGGTACTAACATAATATTCCAAAACAAAGTTTATATATGTCAATCAATGCAGGTATCGCGTACAGGTGATGTGCTGTCGCGTTGATATTTGGGACCGTCACTCAAAAACAACGTCAGCGTAAGAAAATCAAAACTATGTAGACATGGCTGTATGAACGCAGACTCCTTTGCCTTTCCGATAAATGATACAATAATAATAAAAAAAATATCATGCTATCTAACTTACTAGTAAATATTATAAATGCGAATCTATCGCGCTTTCACGCCAAAACTACTAAACCGATTCAAATTAAATTTCGTACATAAGTAGTCTAGAGGTCTATCATAATTTTTAAAGCTAGAAGCTTGATAAAAGGTTAATAAAATGGGGGATGAAATTCTGTTCGGAGAGTCGTCTTTTTTACTGTCTCTATTCCACGGGGAAAAAGTAGATGGCTCAGTTAGTTTATAATAATCCGAATTACCGATATCAGATATTGACCTAATATATAGATGTAACTGTATACGATCAGTATCGCCCATGCCTGTATTGTAACATATTAATCAATTTCAGCTGGAAGCCTTGCAGATCTCCAATCGAATTGCAGTAGCACGCTTCGCAATGCGGTCGCAATGCCAACGGGCGCGACGTGATTATAAACTTGGGATCTGTGCTAAGTACTATATAAAACATACTAGCGTTTGCCGGCGGCTTCGCTTCGTTTGCGCGTTGCTTTTTGTGGTTGTAGAATAATGGATGGACGATTCCATTATTCTTCAACAGAGATGTACAAAGTCTACCTGGGTAACGATTCGATTATACCAATGCTGTATTTAATCAACAAGTTGATTAAATAAAGTTATATATATTATAGGATCGGATAATATATATTATCAAATCGGACTATCTGGACCCAAGGAACCTATAACTGTCAAGTGGCCTACATAAAAAGACTACCATTAGTTATGTTGATTTTTATATAAGAGGTAAGTATGCACCTGATACTTATTCTGTTCATTTCGTTCGTTCTGACTGAAGTTCAAATTCCATTAATAATTAGCTGTGTTAATAGTCTGCTATTACTAATAAGAGCTAATAATAACGCCAAAACAATTTACACAACGCCATCTAGTCCCAAACTACGCAGACCTTGTGTTATGAGTACTAGATAACTAATATAAATACATAGATATGTTTTTTGTAAAAACATACAAAATACAAATGTTTGCTTTTTGTGGTTGAAGAATAACGGAATCGTCCTTCCATTATTCTTCAACCACAAAAAGCAACGCGCAAACGAAACGAGGGCTATAGCGACTACGCTAGCGGGGTACCAGTGGAACGACAGAATGAGGATGAAGTCAATGATGTCAATTACCTCATCATAGTGAATAATTATTTCCAGGGAGAACTGCGTGGAGGTTAACATGACATGATTTATTGCTAAAAGAGAAACATAAAACACCATTGTGCAAGAGAAGAAAAATTCGCGATAACACCTTAAACTAACACACCTTGCTACCTTATAACTAGTAATAGCACAGATAAGATAATATTGCATAGTAATTTATGTTATCTGTGGTAATAGGTAGGCTAAAAACTTACAATGAGATTAAATGCTCGCTCCAGCTTGTGACGGTTCACCTATACCCATAAGTATATTAAAAATATTTAGTTCAAAAGTAGTGGTTTGGTGACTTAGCGCACGCTTTCTTTTCTGTGTTCGCGGGTTCGATTCCTCGCGTGGTGTATGTATTTGTGTTCGCGAGTATGTATGTTTGTAACAGGTAGGGGTTTCTATGTATGTTATGTATGAGGTTACATAAATAAAAGTATAAAGGTATTTAAATCAAATGTCCGTCACCCGGGACGCGACTTTGGTTGCCGTGGGCTACGTGACGCTGTGTGAATCGTTCAAGTTCGTGTTACTATGCAGATACAACAACGTCTATAATTGTGTTATTGTGTGCATGTTAGTATTATAAAATTATTTTCTCTAGGTTTTACATGTATTTATTTCCTTTTTCTATAAATCGTGTGTTTTACTATGTGCTTAATTATTAGGTAATTGTACACCATACAACGGCTAAAATATATATTTAGGTAAATTGTGTTTTTAACACTTTACGTAAGTCATAATCTCCAGAAATTCGTGTATCGGATTATATTAATTTGTTGTTTCCTAGGCGTTATACGTTTAGATTTTCATACAAGCGTTTAGTACCTACTTCTAGTTAGATGTTAAGTATTTTCGTTATGTTAGAATTTTCAACGATTATAGATATTCTTATACTTAATATGAGGATTCAGATAATAACAAACTTATTATAAAGAAATATAAGTAATCTAATGGAGTTATAACAGAACTTTATTGCACTTGTGTATCTATTAATAATTGAACTACTTACTTGCCGACGGTAAATATTTCTCTTACTTACTTCATCTATTAAGTACTTATTTTAAATATTTTATTACTCACACTGAATAACTAGCTGTGTAGTGTTCCTTTGTTTGTGATAGTAATGTAAGATTGCTATTTCAAATGATGGATATTGCCTGGTTGGTGTTTAGTACATACTCATACATACATTCCACAAAAGATGTCGCTGGGGGGGTTCTTGGTTACTGAAGGCTTCACTAGAAGGAGGAAAATACTTGTATCGATGATTGAACTATTGAAGTGATATTTTCCAATAGTTTTTGATGATATATTATGATCCGTAAATCTCTATGGAGGCTTTAGTAAGGAAATATAATTTCTGTAATAGTTGTGGAAGTTTTCATCAGGAGAGAGAGAGGCTCAGATCGATGAATTTATGATGAAGTCACATGTTCCATCATTTGAGGAGAGATGGGTCAAAGCTCGTAATGAAGGTTTTAGACCACGATCCCTGTGGAGATTTCTACAACCGATAGGGACTTCTGTTTAGTTGATAACTGAGTGGTTATCTAGGTATAACACCCTGAACTTTACTATATGTGCGTTGTATGTGTGGTGTATCAATATAGAGATATATTGCTACCCTGGAC